AGGATCCTATAAGGTCATCCCAAAAAGGAACTACTATGGAGCCTATGGGTAAAGAACCTCAATCAAGGGCAACCCTGATCTCGAAGTTGAGGCGCCAAACCACGCTGAAGCCACAGTTCATAGGTTTAGGATTTAGGTTTTAGGGTTAAGGGAATCAATGTAACGTTTCCCCTACGGCCCTACGTTGTCACCCAAACCTACAGACAGCGCACACCCTAAAGTCCTTTGCCTCAAAGCCTAACGCACTTGACGCTAACCCCTCAACCCTGAACCCTCTTAGCCCCTAAATATGACAGAACTTTTACAAGACCCGAACTAAACCCAAAGCCGTATAAGTCATGAGCCCCCGAAGGCAAAAAGGCTCCTCCCCCTGGGAGTGAGGCCGGTAGTCCACAAGCACCAAGCCATTCCTGATTCCAGGGTGTCGGGGTTTAGGGTTTAGGGTTTAGGTTTCTATACTCAGCTTGGGGACCCTTGCAAGCTGCTTGATTTTAGCTGTTTCTTAGGGATTGCAGCAACCCAAAACTAAGAATAAACCCTAAACCCTAAACCGATGTCTAAGTATCCCTAAGGTTTCGGCTTTAGAGGACCAGGAGCTTCAAGAAGCTTGAGCCCTTCTTTGAATCGAGAGCTTAGGCCTGCCCTGTACACCAGTACCTTAAGTAGCATCTTGAACCGAAGCCCATAGACCGACGTAAACCTATAAGCTAGGGTTTAGGGTTTCGGGCTTAGGGTTTGGGGTTAAACCTATAAGCTAGGATTTAGGGCTAAGGGCTTAGGGTTTAGGGTTAAGCCTATAAGCTAGGGTTTCGGGTTTAGGGCTTACGGTTAAACCTATAAGCTAGAAAGGGGGCCCAGCAAAGATGTGGTTTGTGTGTGGTACCCAGACCTTGGAAAAGACCTCAGATCAATAATTAATAGGATCCCAATTATGGTTTAAGGTATATATTAGGGTTTAGGGTTTATAAGGGTTTAGGGTTTAGGGTTTAGGACAATATATTCCCTGAAACCTAGACCCTAAACACCTAAACCGTGGTACTGTACAGTGGATCAACCCACAGTCCTAAGACAAGGCGGACGTGGAGCCGTCGGCTAGGTCGCTGTTTCGAATCTAGGGTAATGTAGGGGCCCTAATCATTAGAATAGGGTTTTAGGCTCCTTTGTAAGGAATACTAGAGGTAATTACTTAGGCTCCTATATTAAATAGCCGGGGGACTTTCAGCTTCACGGGTCTTTATGAAGATTCAATGCTTACGGCAGTGTAGGGTAGTAAACAGGCTTTAGGCTTTGACGGCTTAGGTTCTTAGGTGCTTGGGCTCTTTGGCGTTTGAGCTGACGGTTTAGGCCTGAAACTTCAGGGTTTAACCATGTGTTGTCTTGATTTGTAGGCTTTAGGCGTTTAGGTGCTGGGGTTCAGGGGTTTAGGGAGAGAGTCTTAGGTTCGAGATATTAGGGTTCCGGGTAAAAGGTTTCGGGGGCCGGCTCACAAGAAAGGTGAATAGCTCAATCTCAGAAGGCTTGAAGGTGGTGCTGCAAAGCTTTCCTGAGTTTGTTCTGCAACTTCCGCACAAAATCCGAAAGCAATCCTAAACAAAAAGCCTAGACCCAGACCGTACATCTCAAAATCACTGAACCCCCCCCCACAAAGCTGCAAAACAAAGAAGTAAGCACTGCCACGGCTCTGGTTCAAGGCACGGAGCTTGGCGCCCTGTGCTTCGGATGGCACAAGGAGGTGCAGCACGACTGTGCGATCCTCGCAACAAATTAAGCTCGGAGGCTCACAGCACTTAGTGCCTCATATTTAGAAGTCTCAAGGGTGAGACGTGGCATGTTCTTGTACAACCCATAGGCTCCTAAGTAGTTCCTTTTTATGGTCCATATTTAGAATCCTATAAGGTAATCCCAAAAAGGAACTACTAAGGAGCCTATGGGTACAGATGTACTACTGTAGGGAACGCTGTCGCTCGCATTTCCTTCAGACTCCTTGCACAGGTCATGAGCAGGGTTCTAACCGACTCACCCCACGAAGCCTTCTTGCATCCCCGAATACGGTTGATGGTAAAAATCCTGCATTACACATAATAAGGAATAGACCATGGTTCCCATAGTTTGGGGTCCTTATTAATTGTATTGCAGGATTTTCATCATCCCCGAATATCACTCAGGCTCGGAACCATGCAGGTCCTCGTCTCGGAAGCTCCATTCCTCCTCGCGGCGAGCCACGTGGCCGTTCGCGCACGGAGCTGCCAGCCGATACTGCCAAGATTAGGCTTTAGGGTTTGGAGTTTGGGGTTTAGGGCTTAGGGTCTAGGTTTTGGAGTTTGGGGTTTATGGGGCTTTGGGTCTAGGTTTTGGAGTTTGGGGTTTAGGGCTTTGGGTCTAGGGTTTGGGGCTGGGGTTTAGGGTTTGGGGTCCCAGAGAGTGCACACGCACTACCATTTGGCAATTCCACCCCAAATCCAGATTTTGGCTGTCGGGGGCGGGGGGGGTGGTGGCAGAGAGGAGACCAACTTAATGTCGTCACACGGGGTTCTAGACTTTGCGCCTGGCATCTCAGGAGCAAGGGCTTGTAAGGCCGAAGTCAGCCTAGGATAAACTGAAGCTGCAAAAAAGTGTCGCTTTGCCTCGGCCCGCGGCTTCGTTAATCTGCACCTAAGTTGCTTACAGGTCGGCCCGCTGGCCCGCTGGGGTGGAGGCACCCATGAGGCAAGTGGCGGTGGTGGCGGGGGTCGCAGAGCTGGTGCTTTTGGCAGCAGCAACTTTGGGAGCGCCTCTTCCAGCTGCAGCAGCCTCTCTGGCCTCCCGCACCCGTATTTTCCTCTGCTGGATGTTGTTCTTGTGGCGCGTCCCAATGCAAGCGCACGCGCGGTTCCCACTGACAGCGACTGCCCTGGGAAAGCCCCGTTGGCCGCAAGACCCTAGGTCTAGAAATTATTTATCCAAGCAGGTAGGCTTCGTAGTGTGATACTGTCCAAGTATCTGCCGCAGCAGCACGAACTGCCTCCAGCCCAAGCGCTCTTCAACGTTTACAACAACACCCGGTGGGACTCAACCTTAGCGCCCACATAAGACCTAAATCCGAAATCCGAGTTAGAGTTGAACTTCACAGGCCCGTAATCTCGACCCCGAATCCCCAACCATGAACCTACCCTAAACCCTAAACCCTAATATAGAACCCTGTAAGAACCTTAAGGAACCCCCTTAAGAGCCTTCCCGGAACCCTTAGCACCAAAGTTAAACCCCAAACACTGAACTCGAACGCCGACCCTAATTAAACGCCACAGTCCTAGGCCCCCAAACCCTTAAACAATCCCTAAACTCCCTAAACCCTAAACTCCCTAAACCCTAAACTCCCTAAACTCCCTAAACCCTAAACTCCCTAAACCCTCAACTCCCTAAACTCCCTAAACCCTCAACTCCCTAAACTCCCTAAACCCTAAACTCCCTAAACCCTCAACTCCCTAAACTCCCTCAACGCCCTAGAAACCCTAAACATCCAAATCTCAAACTCCCCAGCTTTGCAATCCTCCGCAGCGATGGCAGCCCGCGACCGCGGCGCCATAAGCCATGGCTCTGACGGTATCTAGGGATTTAGGATGTTTTTTTTGTTTTACGCCCTTGTCCGTCAGCAGATGCAGGGTTTTGGGTTTAGGATTTGTGCTTAAATTAGAGTCTTGACTTATATGGTACATTAATCAGGAAGAATATGGGTAATTGCCGGTTGGACATGCCTGGCTCCTCCAAGGGTTCTGAGAGGTTGACAAGTGGCTTCAGGGACAATAGGATTTTGGGATTAAGGCCTTGGTTTAGGGTTTCGGGTAGGGTTTAGGGATTAGGGTTTTGGCTTAGGTTGAGTTAGGATTTAGGGACCGGTCAGGTGTGGGGTAAATCTTCGCGCTTGGGGTGACGAGCTTGAAGACTCTAAACTCGTTTGGGGCTTGCAATGTCCTCCAGAGCTACCCTGCTGCCACCGCCCGTGTTGTCTTTGTGAGCTCTGATCACCACAACGAACATGAAGATCAGCATCGGCATCGTCAACCTTTGAAGACTACGAGTCTCTCCTTATAGTGCTCATGTAACCATAGTAACAGTATCCAAAACCACATTCCAGTTATTGTGTCCTCTATGCCTCCCATCTTCATCATGATGGCGGGGTGGGCGGTTCACCAACATCGCACAGATGGCCACCATCATCATTCGAGAAACTGTGGCGATATGGCAGAAAACATCACATAGTGTCATTGTCACCAACCAAAACAAGAACACCATGGTGTATTCGTAGCATCGGCAGACTACTCATGTTGAGGCATCATGACTCTACAACCGTCTCTGAACCCTCAAGACTAAACCCTGCACTCGCAACCATCTCTGCCTCTTCCAGCCTCGTAAACGCAGATAAGCCAGCCCTGTAGTTGGGGAATCAGGACTCGCATAAAGGTGACTCAAACAAGCCGAAAAGAAAGCACCTTATGTTCATAATTAAACCCCAAGCTGTTGCAAACCCTTGTTCCCTATGCAAACCCTGCGCTGCCTCGCAAGACCAGGAGGTGAAGTTGCTAGAACTGGTGTTGGGCTCGGTGAGGCTGCAACAGCGTCCGGGAGTTGAGGTGCAGACGTCAAGAAAGGAACTTTGGGTTTAAAGGACCCTTAAAGGAACCCCTAATCCTTAACCCCTAACCCCTGAAGCCCTAAAAACCCTAAACCCTGTAAGGATCCCTGTGAGATTGTCGTGGGATTTGAACGTCCGGCAGAAGCCTCATAGGCTCAAAGAGACTACATACCAAGCTTGAAAAGAACGGCACCCTTGTTTCGCCAAGGCAGGCGCTGTTCTGTTGATAGACTTCAAAACTCTGTTGTGGAAGACTCTCCGTGTTGTGGAAGACTCTCCAATCCTATCTAAGCAGATGCAACTATGTAGCCGTGGTGCTTCGAGCCTTGTGCCTGTCGGCTGACTTGCCCATGGCAGGTATTCGCAACCGCTTGGCGTCACTGCTAGTCGGCTAGTTCTTGGTCTTGCCAAACTTGTTGTTGTCCACGCGATCCCACTGCTCTTTGGCTCTTGAGAATTCTCGCTTGGCCTGCGACTGGTCCCCAGGGTTGAGTAGGCCGTCCGACTTGGTCCATGCATTCACAGAAGCGGCCACCCCAGCACCTCCATGCCAGGCGGCATGAATCGATGATCGCACCCATCCATTCTCATGCATGTCGAACTTCTTGTCCATCCAGTTGGACACCTTGGCAGTGTGACATCCCTCTTGAGACTAGCCACATCTTCTACCATGCGCGATCCACATGTGTTTGCCTGCTGAGGTGGGGACGCTTCGGAATCCGCCGGGATTGTACAAGTTCTGGGACATTTTGGAACCTTAAGAAGTGGGAGTGCCCCTGTTCAGCCGAAGAAGCTGCGGGCAAGCGAATCCGTCAGTGCTCCTCGAAGAGAGTTAAGTTGAGTCGTGTTAGGGCTTAGGATAGCAATTCCCGGTTGTCGCAGTTCTTGAAATTACATCTCACACCTCCGAACAAGGTCGTGTCGATATTTTTAGTCAAGAGACCCTGTTCCGAGCTCAGCTGATTCTTGTCGTACATCGTATTGAAACCTACAGACCTACAGGGGGCTGCTAAACTATCCTTGGTATGTCATGGGAATCATGCCTTTGATTAAGCATGGTCACCGACAGTCAACAGGCACCTCAATTCCGATTACGGGGGCTGCTGGAATCAAGGCAAGGGCTTTGGGGTATATCAGACAATCAAAAAGCACAAGAATAATTATTATGACAACAACAGCAATAACAATAATCATGCTGGAAACCCTGAAGAAACACCATTACAAATAATGCCGCCCCTTAGGTTTAGCAATGTTGAGTCCACTAAGCCCCGAACCCTAGACCCTCACGTTCAGCGACGAAGACTCCCCCAACTTGCCTCCATGGTTTAGGGTTGAGGGCTTAGGGCCCCATCCAGGAAGCCCAAAGCAGGTAACTCATAGACCCTAAACCCTAAACCCTAAACCCTAAACCCCTAAACCCTAAACCCCTAAACCCCTAAACCCTAATCCCTAATCCCCAAACCCCTAAACCCTCCACTGGGAGCCTCAGCCGGGTTCGGTTTAGGGTTTAGGGCTCCGGGTTTAGGGCTTAGGGCTTAGGCTTCAGGGTTTGGGTTTTCGGGTTTGGGGATTTGGGGTTTAGGGCTTAGGGTTTAGGTTTTAGGGTTTCGGGTTTGGGGTTAGGGCCTAAGGTTTAGGGCTTGGGGTTTAGGGCTTAGGGTTTAGGGCTTGGGGTTTAGGGTGTAGGGCCTGAGGCCTGATCCCTACAATCTTCACCATAGCCCGACCGTCGGACCGCTGTCGCGAAACCTTCTAGAGCCCTACGGGTCCCATGTACCCAAAGAGTATAAACTTTGACCCTCCAGTAGTCCCTCATATAGGGGGTTTAGGGTTTAGGGTTAGCGTTTAGGGTTACTTTCGGGCCAAAATGTATACGATTTGGACCCTTAGGGTACACTGGCCCTTCAGCAAACCTATCAGAAACCCCCCTCTGCTTTTGCAAGGGGTATTTGCTAGCAACGGTAAGTCCGATCCCCAATGCACGGAATGAAACTCTCTGCGCTTAGGAGCCTTTTAGGTGGGGACATGTGGGAACATGATTCTTCGGTCTTTGGGTTTAGGGTTTAGGGGTTTAGGGTTTAGGTCTTTAGTCCCTTCCCTTATAAAATTCGCGGAGCCCGAACACCACCAAACCCTTGTACGAAGCCCCAGAAATCCTCTACAAAGCCCCACGACGCCCTTACACAGCCCAGAATGTGTTTTGGCTGTTGCCAGCGGCGTGCCGTGACAGCATGATCTCCTACTTGGAGGGACGGGGGACTTAGTAAGTAGTTCATTATATTTTGTGGAGGTATGAGGGTCATTAAACTTCTTCGTCTACTACTTACCTACTTTGTTAGTCCCTAAACCCGAAACCCTAAACCCCCGTGCATCTTCCAGGCTCTCGAAGCGGTCTGTAGGCTTCTATGATAAGGGTTCTAGACAGGGGTCCTTCGGGGGTTCTTGTCAGGGTTGTGTAATGGCTTCTGCATTTTTTTATGGCATAAGGCCTCAAGGTTCAGTGTTTAGGGTTTAGGGCTTAGGGCTAAGCGTAGAGGTTTAGGTTCTGGTGCTTGGTATTTTGTTCGAAGCGGTGTAGGGTTTTGGGGTTCGGGATCGGGGTTCTTGGTCAGGGGCTTTGGGTTTAGGGTCTACTAGGTCTTCGGCAAAGAGAGACTGGCTGGGATATTCCCCCCCCCCCCAAGTCCGAGGAGCAAGCGCCTAAATCCAGTTGCAATCGAAAATTACCAGGGCAGGCGGTGAGACCGGGCTAGGCGGCGGTTTGGCTGCTGGGGCTTGATGCCTTGATGGGGTTCAAGTTTTCAGAGCATTATATGTAGAAACCTGAATAATCAACCAACCTACCCTGTAGGCATCCTCATGTTAGGGTCCGTCAAAGTCTACTGATATGCGGCCTGGAACCTTACGGCTTTGAAGGTTTCTGGCCCTCGAGACATTGCAGATTCGGGCTCCGAGTTGTCCTTCCCTCCCCAATAAGCTTGGGAAATAAAGGATTCAACTTTCAGACTTCTACTAAACCAAAAGAACCCAACAAGTTTAAAGGTCGAGTATTGGAGAACCAAGCTATAACTACTACTACTGCTACTACTACTACTACTACTATAGTAGTACTACTACTACTACTACCTA